CCCCCCCCCCCCCCAAAAAACCCCAAAAGAGCCCACTGATCTTGAAGTCACACAAACATGTATCCGCCATAAAGTCTTGAAAATTTTGATACAACAAAAAAATACACTCGCCATACACATCCCAGTATGTTTCACAGTTCATTTTATTTTCTTTTAAGAAACAGGCATGCATGCGTTCGTTTAGGACAATGCAAGGCACATATACAGAATAATATTCACCGCATGTTAAGCAAAGTTTAAGTGATCTGGGAAATGTGAGTTTGTGACTGTTGTCATTTCCACTCACAGTTGATGTACTGGCACTGCAAGTACATATAAGTCACAGAATTTCTGAAGGACTTGTACCCGATAAAGCCAATTATGTGTACACTGCATGTACATGTACATGTACTTCCTCACCAATTAAACACAAAGTGAAACAAAACGTAGTCTCTGTATTGTGCTTCTGCAACATGTACTTGTACATGCATTACTGGTAGCCTGAAATCTGCAGCATGTAATGTAAACAGGTAAAGTAAATGCACCAGGTCATCTACACGTATACCGTGACTGTTTTAAGTTAGACCAAGTTCCAACAATACAAAAAAGTCTAGATCAATCGACACTCAAAACCATTTACATGTAAGATTAAGTACACAGAAAATAAAATGATGCGAGAAACAGTTAAAGTAGAGGGCCCATGTAATGGTGAACAGCTAGGTGTATTGCATGGTACAGGAATTATGATAACGCCTGTATCTATGGTACAATTCTTAATACGTGCACTTCTCCTGGTGATGACGTGTGCCACATGTACTGTACGGGTACATGTACCATGTCACTTTATGTTCACCTGTTTCTCTTTCATAAACAAGCTGAGCTGAAATATCACAAAATGCCAAAGGTTAAGTGGTAGTGGCTAACTGGGTAATATGGATTACCAGGCCAGGCTGGCAGAAATATGAAACCACTTTTTAGTCTGGTGCCGATATGAGCTATCAAATAAATTGGAATATGTACCAGCAGCTCTCATTGTTGGTCTTTTGTGATTTCAAATGAGTTTCTGTATTACCAAACCTATCGTATTAGTCTGAAAATGCCTGACTTGCGTACAAGCTGACAAATATAGCTGCTGGTCAGAGAAACACTTGGCTATGCGTGACATCTTCCACACGTGGCATTATAACAATTGGGCGGGACAACCTCAGCAACATGACTGCTATTTGATATCATGGACATCGGGGGGGAGGGGGGGACACCGGGATACTTTGTCTCCTCCCCCCCCAAAGAAAATGTAAAAACTAATACGGGAAGGAGAAAAGGCAAAAGAAAAAAAAAAGTTGAGTGAATGAAGAGAGTTGGGTGTTTCTAATACCTACCACCAGTCTCTGCATGAATGCTAAATAAATGGTGAAATATCAAACAGAAGTGAGACAAGCTGAATGACAAGACAATGGAATTACAAACCTTGAACTCTGTACTCTCCATAATCTTGACATTCAGTCTGGTGATTTCACCAAGCTGTGGTTTACCCAAGTCGGCAATCCTGCGATCCTCCTCTGACATGAGCTTGTAGGAGTCATCCTGCTCACTGGTATAGGATTCATTGTCACTTCCTGGAATGGAAATTTATCAAAGTAAACAGGCTGAACCATTCAGAAAAATATGGCCATGTTTATCTACCGTAGAGGCAGGCTCGGCAGAGGAGTTGTCTCCCCCCACCAACAAATAACTAAAATATTCAAATTAAAATCAGCATGCTGGATCAATACCAGGTAGGCTAGGGACCAGAAAAGCTAAGCATCCCTCTCCCCAAGAAAAGCTTTTCGAACCCTCCCCCAGCAAGCATCCCTTCCCTCAAGCAAAGCTTACAGCCACCCCTGGGGAACTCTGGATCGAACCTGTATTATTACCACCTGATTCGGGTTAAAGCTGAGTGGAGCCATGTGACTTCTTTCAATAAACCTGATTTTGTAAGTAATTGGTATCTCAAAGTGGAACCTGTGAATTCTGAAATGTAAAGCTACTGAAGCCATGCCATACATTTGGAGACAAGCTTACACAGTTTGTCAGCATGAATATCACCAGATAATGTTCCATGGATGGAGGTAACTCACATACATGTACATAGTACATTAAAATTCTGTGGTGTATTACATGATCAAGCAATGTTATGTTAATTATATATAACGGATTGCCCGTAACCAACGTATATTAATAAGCACTGTATGCTCAGTGCTTGTCCGAGAGCTTGCGAAAAAAACCTCACAAGCTTACTCGGGTGGGACTAAAACCCACGACCTCCTGCTTACGAGTGCAGATGTCTTAACCACTCGACCACCGAGCTTGCTGGGGTCGGCTGGTCGGCTGGCCGGTCCGAGTTGACATAAAAGTGGGATGCACAAGTGCGATAAAGCACTTGCTTACCCCAACTAACTACAATACATGTACATCTCAGTTTTATGTTGCTCCCGAAAACTACCATCCGTTCAGCAGTTATGCATGTGATACAGGCATGGATGGATACAAGCAGATGAATTGTTAAATGAACCAATCTTTCAGAAATAATTATTAGGTACCAAAACAGCTGTTGACTTATATAAGATCAGACGTGGCTTTTTTGCCACCTTCGGGACACATCTGTGGCACCTTCGGTTTTGCCTGAGATGTCATGTGCTGCACACTTGTCAGACAAATGCCACAGCTTTACATTGCGTCCGTCAAGAAGTGTTACATGTGACACCAAGACTCCGTGCATGAAGGAGATGACTGCCTATTCCAGTTGGTTGTCTGATTCAGTATGACAGAATACTCATTAAATTACCAACAAAATCTTTGACACATGGTGTGTTTGGAAAACCAAAATCACTTGTATGGGTTTCAGTGTGTGAACAAAGGAGGGTGCGTCTTTACACAGCAACTGTGTCTTGTTTCAAGATGTACTCTGTGTCGGGGAGATGTTAATTCTAATAACAGGTTTTGCCCTTACATATAATCGTATATAGTATGTCGGTATGTAAGGGCGTGTATACCCGTAATTACACTTACATCTTGTTTGGCCAGCCCACTGAATGCACGATCTTGGTGCAGAGCATGCACAAACAATTTTCATTTGAATGTATGGTCTTTGAGGGTGTCCATTTTAATTGGTCAGCCTCTCTGTTTATTCACAGACACTCTCAAGTTAATTGCTATTAAAAAATAAAAGAGGCATAAATTTTATGAGGGACATTTATTTCAAACACAAACTTGGGGCCCATTTTACTTAGACAAGCATCAACAGAATTCCACACGATAAAGTAATTGTTTCTGATGGGAGTGTTTACTCTGAAAGTGGACAAACAATGTGATAAGGCAATAAACCACTAGATTGTATGCTAGGAACCTGAGTACTTTTCAAAGATAACACCCTGAAATGGCAGGTTCTGGTCAATATTAGTGGTGTCATTAGGTATGACACCGTGGCCCCATATTTTCCTCACCAAAAGTGCCTGCAAGTCTTCCTATGGGAATAAAGTCAAGGCTTCAATTCTCACTGTGGAGGTTTATGTGGCAAGTAGGTACATGTACCTAAATGAGTTACATGCTGAACGGGTTTCCACCTTATAGGCCAAATACATGTTCTTCAATCAATGCATGTGGAGGAAATGATATGACATTTTTGTATTAAACACACACTGCAGTTGTCACTGTTCAAATAATAATTCATTGATGGCTCTCAGTGTAAAAGAAAGAGAATATTGTGCATGCTAAAGGCTGTATCATACTTCACTTAAACTCAAAAGCGAGGTGAACTTCACATCAGCAGTAACGGGCACATTACGATGTTTGTCGCTACCTTGGCAAACTCGTTTAATGCTCGAGTGTGATTTGGGTTTACTCAGAAAGAGTGATGACAGGCTGGTTCTGTGCACATTCATGTGTAACTTCCATCAATCCCTACAGCTTTAAAGGTTAGGAGGAGGGGTGCAGAACTAGCACTTGCAGTGAGAGCATTATAAATGTTCACCTGTTGACATTTAAGAGTCATTGTACATGCAATGACCCAGTATATGGCAAGCTATTTAAGTCAAGGGAAGTCACATGCACAATGTGGCAATGAAATGCACAGTTTAATAGGGGGGAAGTACCACTAAATGTACACATGTAAATTCCTCTTTCCATCCTAACACGATACAAAACTTCTAAATGGTACAATATAAAGGGATTTTATTTCATTGTCGACTCAAAATTATGAAATGAAACCTACTACGGGCATTAGGTTTTAAAATGTACATTATTCAAAGCATGATTCACTTGTACTGTACATGTGCACAGTTGTTGTGAAAAATTCCAGAGGAGTCACGAAAATTACCAGACAAACATTATTAAGTTATTCTTAGAAATGCTGGCACATTATACAGGCACAATTAAGTTAGGACCAGCTGCGCCTATCGTACATGTAGCCTATGGTAGGCCTACAGGGCTCCGGGTTTTTGCAATCGGAAGGGTATACATACTTTTTGTACAATGTGCCATCTATCACAAGCCAAATGAATGGGGAGCTCGACTGATTGTACTTTCCAAATAAATTACAGCTTTGCATCTGATGCAACAGACATTAGGATACTGATGAACATCTCTCTGTCTTTATCAGGTTTAATGTTTCAAGAGCTCATGCAGAAAACATGAGTTTAATTACTTATTCCCCTACTGACCCCAGCTTATTGATGACGCACAACCATAACTGTAAACTTGAAGAAAAAACACCTGAAAGTGAATTTTGAATTCTTAACATGTTTTGAGAAACACCGATATAAAATATGCTTTATTCATTATGAAGCAGTCTCATGCCACCTTACGGACTCCTGGAATCTGTTGCTGGAGAAAGGATGACGCAAAGCTGCCTACTTAAAGTTCTGAAATTTGCGTCACATTCATAATCATAAAAGTTGTTTCTGATAGAATTTTGGTGAAAGCTGACCACATCAAACAGCTGGTTGAGGGCATGAGCATGCAGTGATTAAAACATATCGCATCTTGACCAAAACTGTGGCTTAAGGCCCAGTGTCCAAGAAAACTGACGGTGCCTTAACTGCCAGCTAGTTTGATATGTGACAGAAGATTGAATTGTGGTAGAACCATTTAAAATTTCTTTGAAAAGTGAATGACTGAGGGCAGGTCCATGTCTCCATGACTGTGTGCATGCCATGTCCTATACATGTACGTAACAAAAGTTTTACACCTGAAGACACATGTAAATGGATTGCAGTGTTTTTTGTTCTACTGTTGGGCATCTGAATGGAGAGTACTCAAAAGAATTTTTCCATTACTTAACAACTGTCCATGAGCAATTAAAGAAATCATAAAACTACATGCATGTAGACATATGGGACAAAAAGGGATCTATACCCTTGAGGTTCACAAGAGCACAAGTATATGTACTTGTGTACATTATGTACCGGTACATGATGTAAGTGGTAAATTTCAGCTCCATGACACAAACATGCCTAAGTTTGTACTAACAAACTCAAAGAGGTATAGCCTCATAGTCATGTACATTCCAATGTAATCTGTAGATGAGAACTACATGTAGAACCAAACATCTCAGAGTGATGCATGCAACAAAGGAACAAATCGGAAAGAAATGAAACTGAAAACTGTACCAAGTAATCACAGGCACATGTACACATGTATGTAATTCTCTTTCTCCATGCAATATATTGTGAGATGTGTTAAAGGACAGTATGAATGGAACACTAATCAAACCAGTCTTTTTGAAAATTTGAATTAAAAACAAAAATGTGATTGAAACCTTTTACTTCGTCTACTGAGTCCCATACATGTACATGTACAATGTTGAACTGCAGATACAAACATGTACCTGTACTGGCACATGTGCTGTAACCAGCAAGCAAGGACATCACTTTATAAGTGTCAGGCTTTTTAGGTACTCCACAAACAAGCTGTGCATGCAATTGACTGGACTGTAATCTACTGGTTACAAATACATGTAGGAGTACTTCAAATGGAGACATCTGCCAAAATGCAACAATATACATGTACTTTTCTTCCGTTGGTACATGTACCGTACTTCTTCTCACTAGGTACTAGAATTTCTGTTTACAGTCACGTACACACTGTATTTAAACCCAACAATTAACAGTCATAAACAACACCAGTTTCTCACATTGCCTTTTGGATTATGACTTTTTACATGTCGATCAATAATACCATACATGTACATAAATGTACACCCCACCCAGAATGAAATCATTTAGAAAGCAGAAATAAAAACTGTGCGGTCATAAACCATACGCACGTGTACATCACATTATCACAAAGACCATAGAAAACCAACCAGGTACATGTATGTCAGAAATGCACTTGACGTTAGGGACAGATCTGTTGTGCAAATTGCATTCATTGATTCCACAAATTTAACTTGCCTGACGGAAGTACTGACATCTTGCAGTCCATTAACCGCAAACAATAGAGCAATTTAAATACAGGTACTGGAATAAGCACCCACAGCTTTTGCTGATTGGAAATATCTATTAAAAAGCCATTTCCTTTTTTGTTTTTGTTCTTTTCGAATGTGCATGCAAACTATACCCTTTATCTTTGAAAGCCCACACAGAAGCGAGTACTGTAAAGTCCAGCTGGCTTTAAATACAGACCGTTTATACCAAATTGCTTTGGACAAACAAGTTTAGTATAGAGCGTAGAAAGGATTGTGGACGTAAGGTATCTTGCCATTGAAGGTAGAAATGCAGCAAGGTCACAGCATTTTTAATGAGAAAAATGAATTACATGTCTATAAAATTGCCAAGAATGAAAGCATCAGTTGACACAGGTTTTAAGTAACAGTAGGAGGCTCATGGCAAGTACTGAACAGCTGAATTAATATGTGCACATTGATCCAACCTGACCTACCAGTAGGCAAGATGAAGGGTGGAAATTAAAGGATTAAAAATGGATTAATATTCCCATGAACCGTGTGTTAGAGATGATGGTGATGATGAAGATACAAATTGTGACCTGATCTTAGTAAAGGGTAGATCAATGGAAGGGTAGGGCCTAGACCTGTATGATTTGCTTCAATTCTTCATTGTTTAATAGAGATGCGTGTATGTATCATCTCCATCTAAAATCATTGAAACAATGAAATCATTGCAGCAATGATGGCTATTTTACAAATTTACATACCACAGTTATCTGATGTTAATTCAATCTGAAAGGAATTTATCAGACCTCTCATTCCGTCAAGAGAAATTGTAGTGATAGAATCATCCTTTGACTGGCCAACAAAGGTAGCAGGAAGGAAAAATGGATGCTTCAAATGTTACTCATGTACGGAAGAGAAATGCAGGGGTACTTCCAGGAGAGAAGCCTGTGCATGCAGAGCAATTATTTCTGTCCAAACTCAGAAATCATTCCACCCTTTTTCTGCACAAGTCCCGCCCCCCCACAATCAATGCTGTCCTCAATGGCACACAAGTGTCACCGTGAGGACTTGGGTGAGGACTTGGGCCATGCGTTGCATGTTGATTGCATATGCAGTGTGCAGATTATCCATTGCAAGCTGTGTAAACCCAACTACAAGAATGAGGTCAGCTTATCTGATTCCTCACAAGACAGTCTGAATCTCTGTACATGTAAAAATCACTTGGCTATATAGGGCCAAGCACCTACCTGGTACACGTATAGATTCATGCAAATTCCCCATTGACATGATAGATACAGGTACAGCTAGTGTACATGTACATGTGCTGTATTCGGCCATAGCCAAGTACACGAACATGTACATGGCCCAAGAGTCTTCAATAGTCAAAGGCAACAATCACAACTTTCTCTTAGCTCAGTTTATATTTTTTTTTCTATTTTCAGAAAATTAGAATTCACACTTTGCATATTCTGACACTAAAAACACTTCAGACAGTGAGACTGAACAACTGACCACACAGTGTAAGTTGTTGGTTTTTGTGAGGGGGGGCTGACCAGATACATTTAGATGTCTCTAAATGTATTCATAAAAACTTCTTCCATTCCATTGTTTCTTTTCAAGTATTTCTCTTGAGTTTCCCCTGTTGACTCAACACCCTAAGCAGATCTACCCTTTTAAGTTACAGGTCACAATTATACTCACTCCTGTGCTTTCCTGCAAGCAGTGCAAATAAAAACAAAGTAATAAAACAGGAAGAACAAAAACTCAATAGAGTCAGAAACAAGTCAAAATGAAGAAAACAGACCCCCGTCCTTGCATCCTGAAGTTGTCCAATGATTTCCTCTCTTGGCTGAGAAATCCCGGGCTGGTTTCCCTGTGAACAAATTTACATTTGTTTCTACAGGATCAATCTTAGTTCAAACTTTCACTATACTTCAGCAACCTGTCAATGATATATATATCACAAATGGTAAGTGACAGGAACATAAAACGTGTACAGAATTTTAAGAAATATCACTCTGCGCAAGTCAATTTTCTCAGCAACTTGACAAATGACCCGTGCATAGGGGCCAATTTCTTAATTAATCAAATGCTATTAATCCCATCCCCGACAATGCAGGCTCGCTTTTATGAGATAATGGCCGATCCATGCATACATTTGCATGTAGGTCCCCTGACCTACTCGTAGGTTTTTAGTGGAATTACCACTGTGATTTACAATCTGCCTCAATATGCATACAAAGTACTTGTACATACTGTACATGTACACGCACTGTACATGTACATGCTGAAACCCAGCATACAGTGTACTGTATATGATGACTACTTCCACGTGCATTAATACATAGTGCACATTATAACAACACCTGATCACAGACGTGTAAGATACTACTTTTATACAGCATGTACATGAAATACATGTACATGTACGTACGTGCTATATATGCTTCAAACCTTTGGTATGTTTAGTACATTTTGGTCTTCGTTAACATACATGTACATGTACATTACCGATACATGCACATGTTTACAATCAAACTTAATTTTGAAGTTGTGTTACTACATCTGTACAGTGTAAGGAGGATCTACTCAATTTCAGCTGACATTAAGTATTCACCTTAAATTGTAAATTCAAAGCGAAAACAGTTCCTATTAATATCACACATTGTTGGTTATTTTGCAATATTGGCAATCACTTAAAAACAAAGTAGAATCCCAGTTTTTTAATTTTCACCCCACAACCACAAAAGACCCAATCAAAATACACACTAGGACTACAAGTCAGCAATCATACAAGAAGGAACATTAATGGAAATTCTACGTAAGGAGAGCGACTAGCTGCATCAAAATCCACTCTCCGACAACAGCAGATGGAGATTTACAGATTGTGCTGTGCGAGATAACATCTTGACAGAACTCTGCATACAGATTCCCTGGACAGATGTCAAAGCTCAGGACGGCTTATAAGAGGTGAAGAAACACATCAATAAGATGAGATCCCAGTAGAACCGGTACATGTACATACCCTTGCTTATTGGTGCAGCATGGCCATGCAAACATTTCTGCAAAGAGTTCTAGAAAGCATGCCAAAAAACACCCAACAAGGTACCATTTTTGGCTTTGAAAATTCTTAAATCATTGAAATGAAAGACTTTTGATAAAAACAGATTTTAAATCAGGCTACATGAAGTAAATCTGCAAACACATCATTGGAAATCCTATAACACTAATTTGAATGATGCATTGTTGCCATGGTGACTTACCATTTCCTCTTTTAATGAGCTTGGGCTGACCCAGTTCCACATAGAAGTTCTCCTCCTTTTCGTATTCTTCATCATCGATGATGGTGACCTCAATAAACTTCCTGCACAGACACACAAGCAGGAAACAGGTTTAAAGAAACTTTAATGGACAAAAAAGATAAAAGGTTCTCATTTTAAGAGCATTCACAATATACACTTAAACAGAGGATTTCAGTAAACTGTTTGAAGAGTTGCTTATAACAGTACATGTACACTACTTGATCTAAAACAGGCAACATAAATGTGCGTACATTTTTAGCCTTATAAAACTGCTACACGTACATGTACATGTATGTACGTGTACATGTATGGATATAGTATGTATGTACATGTTTCACCAATTTGATTCACTTCCCTAGGCGAAAGCCTCCTAAAATACATAATGTACATGTACATGTACATGCACGCTGTACAAGTACTGTACGTAAGACAGTCCTCAAGGCTGATCAATGATAACATTCAGGGGAAGCAGCCTGCAAGTGATTCTATAAATATGCTGCATGTAAATAAATTCACTGATGTTTGTTTCTTATTATGATCTTGCTGGCAAGTGATCTACAGTGTGGAACATCGAGAGGGCAAATAAACAAACGTCACTATCAGCTACACACAGACTTTCAAGAGACAGACATGTACATGTGTGTAATAACTGGGTAGGCATTCACCGCCTGAAGGGGACAATTTCTTTTGTTAGGCAAATTTAGACCGAGTTGTGGGGACATTTCTGTGTCCCCACAAAATACATGTAGGTGAAATACTGAGTGAACATGTACATGTGAGTCCCCACAACCATGGAACAAGAATGGGGTACATGTAGCTCATATATTCAAGTACCCACGAATTGCTGCCTCAAAAAAATACCAAAACAAAAAGTGTGGCAGTTACCCAATTTCACAAAAAGTCACAAAAATAAACACAGCTTTATGAAACTCCATAAATGCAAGGCCGTGATGATGGGATCCGTGTGTTTAACATGCCACGCAAGTGGGATTACCGTATGTGGAAGACAAATTGAACTTGATGTTGTGGCGGGCTGTATCTGTTTTCTGTCTGGTACAGAGCACAATCAAGGTTGATGGGTTTACTGCGCTAGCATCCTGGCGGGAATCGCACTAATTGGAAAGGATTCACGTGAAAAAGTCTCCTGTCAATGAAGGATGTGATCCTAAAGGCAACAGGAGTTACCCACCACTTTACTGGCAAGACAACAATTTTTAAAAGGAGCAGTGCCTACTCCAAGCTGGAGCTTTCACAAGTGGGTACATACTACATGTACATGAATGTACATACATGTACCATACCAGCATAAGCGAGATGCACTAACAATGTGTACACAGACTTCTAGTCTTACATGCTTCTGTTGAACATGTCAATTCAAACTCAGCTATTCAGATCTGCTCAGAGTTGAAGTGCACCCCCAAGCGGCAAAAGAAAGACAGATGGCGGGAAGTTTTCCAAACGGGTTCTTGCACGCGTTTTTTTGTGTATGCAAAGACCATACATTAAGGAATAAATTTGTTACACATGCTCAGCGTGCTCCGCGTCAAACGCGCCATTGGTATCCATTATAAACACACGCTTATGCGAGAGTACCCAAAACACGCCCTCTTTTGTTGCGTTTGGAGCAGATTGCTGTAAGTTAAGCATACTGAATAAATTTCTGCTGCAAACAAGCACATACTTACACATGTACATGTACCCCTGGTATGTGTAAAAGAAAACGATGAGCCAGTTCGGTATTTACAAAAGCCAAGGTCTTTCAGGAATGAAGCACGTGCGAGTCAGCATAAAGCTGCGCTAATAGGACAAACTTTTGCGCGCGTGCGAAACTATTCCTCAACAGCCCTGCACTGGGTGTGAGCTGTTTGAATACTGAACTGGCCCATTAATGTACATGTGAGCTGTTCGAATACTCAACTGGCTCATTAATGTACCGGTACATGTACATGTAAGTTTTATCACGATCATAGCCGTACATGTAAACACTGCAACATATACAGTATACTCTTGCATTTTACAAAGCACAAGTACATGTAAGCAATGCAGACAAATTTATAGTAATCCCATAATCACATCTGATGGTGCTGGGCCACTGACATTAGCAACAAATGACCTTCTCAAAGATGAAAGTTTCATCGAGGCATCAAAGAATATGACGTTAGAGAAGATCATTGGAGATACGGTATCACTCCAACCAGATTCCATTATTAGCCATGCACGCTCATATCCTTCCAGTCTTGTTCCAATCGAGCGGTGGCAATGCACAAGGACAACTCTAATCTTTACAGTGTGTGCTTTCCTTTAACTTCATCTGTCTCAACGCTGTGTTTATTTTTCCATTCAGATGCTTATGGATCCATACATGTGTGGATGAAGTTTACTTACATGTATAAGTAACATGTTCTGTGCAACTATCTATGGTACTAACTTGCCTTAAATATAAGAAAACCATCTTTTCTTGGAGGGAGTTCATCTCGATGAAGACTTCACTTTTTCAAAGATTTCATTTTTTCCACCGTCTTCCTGACAGATTTATGACAACTGCTACTGTGAGGTCATTGTTAAAGAAGGAGACACATTTCATCAGGAAGGGGAAAGGGGGTTGGGCTTCTGGTTCAAACTGTGAACCCAAAACTACCGAGTATGCGATTTCTGCCTCGGATGACTATTACATATTTTGCTCGTACAATGTACATGTAACTACACATATGCGACTTTGCATTATATTAAAAGGTGCCAAAATTCCCTTAAAACGGCACACCAAAAATTTAAAATCAGGTTAAATGGAACACAAAGGTGCACAATTTATAGAAACCACATACATTTCCCCCTTACACATGTACTGGTAATTACACATGTAAGTCCTTCAGAACAAAACTTCATTCAAATCAAATTCTTTTGTTTATTGTGATGATACCACAATAAAAAATGAACTGTCTTAAGAGCCTATAAATCTGTCATGCACAGATACCAGTACATGTACATGTACATGTACCAGTGTCTTTCAAGGAAGCTCTTACAATGTACTTGTGATACTGAATCTCTCTGAGCGTGATGACCGTGACTTTCATGTTTTGGATCACAAATATGAAAGCATATTCCAGTAGGATATCTAGCATAAGTGTCATGTACTTGTATTATTTCAAAAACACACACAATGGAAAGATGCCTGTGGGAGGAGTACGGGTAAATATTCACAGGTATTGGTGACGGGGCACTGCATGAACATGTTTACGACAAGAGGTAGGATCCAGGGGACTTGCAATGAGATCTTGGGGATTGTCACACATCGCATCCAAAATGATATTCCTCCATTACAGAGTGAGAGCTGCTCAAGGTGACCCCTTGATACGTCATAGCACTACGTAAATGTAGATGGGAAAACTGGATTGGGGGCAATATATGTACTACTAGACTCTATGGATTATTCAACACTCCTGAATACAGCAGTTGCACACTGTACACATGAATCTTACCATTCCTGTAAGCATCAATGAGTTGATTGCAAACATACATGTACATGCACCGTGCGGGTGCACGTACTCGTATGTGTAGATCTCTCAAGGGAACTGCAATGTACACATAAATGTATACAAAACAGGAAATAAAACAAAGAATTCAACAACAGAAACAAGTCTGCACATACATGTACCGTACACGCACATATTGTGCATTATCAGTAGGGCCTATATGATGTGTTATCACAGTTGACTTATGAAATGCAAGTAATTAATGCAGAACAATATGAACTTCTTTTCTACATGTACATGCCATACATGTACGTACATTTACGGTACATGTTTACATGTATACATGTTAATTTTACTCACACGTGTACAATGGCACTTGTGCATAAATGTACAACTACCGATACACATACATGTACCAGCACATGTACATGTATGTGCATAAACCCTAACAGTCCTCAATTCTCCAATTTCAATGTACAGTATGTAACCTCACACCCTTGGGGGTTAATGATGAATTCATCATTTCTGAGCAATAATCAATTCTATGTTGTATCTGAATGCACAATTACAGTCGCTAAACTTTAATTAATAAAGGACTGTTTTTCAAGCCCACCGCTGCACCAGAGCAATTAATTACAGCTGCGGAGGCTTTTATGGGACATTCTGATTGAGGTTTGTATCTTTCATTAATTGGTAGTGGAATAACTGCTATACACTGTGCCTTCCTATTAACTGGCTGGATATTTCCATGTACATTTACATGTACCGCTAGGTGACTACATTGCATTGACTGTCAAATTTAAAACAATACATCTACTCTTAAGAATCATTGTCACACAGAAAAAGCAAAACACCTCTGCAGTAAAAAACCTCCTAGTACATATGTACCACATGGCTCTATATTTTATTACCGGAATGTAGGTACTTGAAGGCCTTTTTAAACTTTGGCTGTATGGTTTCAACACTTCTAGATTTTATATTGTGTCTCCGAAGCTACACCTCACAGACCAACGACAGTGAGGGCAAGACTGTGATTCAACGAAAGAGGGTCATTTTTACACACCACATGGGCAACTGCTACCTAAAACCCCGGGATACTTTATTGGGCACTTCTACCCTAACCCCTGGGATACTTCATTCAGCGTTACTACCCTATCCCCTGGGATACTTCATTCAGCGTTACTACCCTATCCCCTGGGATACTTTATCGGGGCACTGCTACCTAACCCCTGGGATACTTTCAGAAATTATTTGGTGCACTGCTCAACACCATGGAAATGGGGTTGGGGCAAACAGTGGCAAACTTATCTGCCAAACATTATTTTGCGCAATTTGTTACACATCTCCTAATAAAGTTTTAAAGTTTTATTTGTTTTATTACCAGCACTGATTTGAGATGGAACTGCACAGAAGTTGATGTTAGAAAAAATATCAAATGTCACTGTTGACCTTTTTAAAAGTTACCAGTGCAAGTTAATTTGATTTGACATATTTTTCTCAAGTTTGTTGGAAAAAGCACCAGGAACTGTTCTCAAACACGAAGTAAAAGGAACTTGAAGCTACATGTACATGTATACATATAAACACTAAAG